TTAGTTCTCATTTCATTTTCAACAGAAACGTATAACTTTAACAAAAATGAAAACGTATGCTAAGAAAACGCAACAATAGCGTAATTAGTTTATGCAAATTTATTTTATTTTCCAGAAATTTAGATTTAACTGAATGAACATTAATTTGTTATCAACAAAAGTTAATCGTTAAACACATCGCATAATAAATAAATAAAGAATAAAATTCCTATAGTGTGTAAAGTGCACGAAATCTTTCTTAAGCCTGAAAGTATGCATCGGAAATCCCTTCAAAGCAAGTGAAAAACTAAGATCAACCAAGCAATATCTCAGTTAGATTTAGTTTCAGTTATGTTCTCTTCAACTTTTCAATATAAATCACAAAACAACTCGAATCGATTTGATGTTGGTTCGCTTACAATTAAAAAAGAATTTTATGATTACTTATGTATATAAACTTGTATTTTTTACTTGAGATTTTGTGAAATGACGTTCAAATTTTTATGAATTAAATGCACAAATGATTAGTATAGAAAACTTGCGGTTGCAGTAAGTACGTTCAAAATGTTACACTGTCAATAAAATCATAAATTTATATGTACTGTATGTACGTCGCATTTTTCCAATGTACCTTTAAACGAGTCTCTGAAAACAATATCTCCTTATTGATATGACTTGTTAAATGTTATATATTTTCATTCTGCCTTTCCAACTCTGAATCAGATGTGCGAGTGAGCGGGTGAGAGGGCTTATGTAAATCGACATAGAATCTGGACCTCCACGAACCACCACTCTGTTGTACTACCATCTATTGATCAATGACGAACGTTACTGCAATATTAACTTCTTTTGGGATTCTATACCAATTTTACTTGGTTACATTTTTTAAAGTATTTTATGATAACTTATGTTAACAGTATATTCGCATATGTTATGTTTCGGATATGTTGTATTGTAATAGTGTGGCGCTGGTGGTTCTTGCATGCTACTCTGCAAGAACGTAATAGAATATTTACACTTAAACGCATTTTAATCTTAAGATTTTTAAAATAAAATTTTCTTATTCACTGACCATTAGTAACGATGTATCGAGATGAGAAAATAATCTTTGGATCATATATAAGCTTTCTTTCGTAAAAGTTTAAATATTTCTTATACTTGTAGACCAAAAAGCAAGCAAAAGGCAATAAATGAAAACAAATAAGAAAATTATGCTACGCTGTAAGCGAATCTCTTGCAAACAGCACTTTTTTTCTAAAAAACCGCGAAAGAAAGAAATGTAAATAAATAAAGAATGAATATTGGGGAATGTATGGAAAAATTCTCATTTTTCCTTAATGAGTAAAAAATTGCAAATTTTTACGCAATCTTCACTATCAGAGTATATAAATCTCGTGTGACAAAGGAGTACTCGAGATCTTACACCAATCTTACCAATCGGTTCAGGAGGACTTTCTGAGCTGATATAAACCTGTTTGTCCGTCTAGATTTCTAGATAATCCACTGATCGTTATTTTTGCGGTCTTTTGATGAAATTCGGTATTCATATATACATATTTTAACCCAAGAACGAACGCAGTTGCAACTGGTTTGAGTAGGATTACTTTGTGGACCACTTTGCATAAGGAATCTTATTTTGAAAAGTTTTTATTTCTATATACGGATGGGGCAGTATATGTAATAGTGGCTCATGTCTCATTGTAGCGTTTGCGCTTGCTTTCTTTAAAAAGAAGGGAGATTTTCTCAATTAGTCTTGCATTGTATGATCTGCTTTTGATCGATTTCTTCCATTTTCAATGCTAACGTGACTGCATGTATTTCGAAAGTTTTTGATAACTTTGAAGCCGATATCTTAACTCTTCCCACCCGGAGAATGCTTACAGCTAACGTGGACGGATGGATAGGTGGATCTACAGACACTCCTGCATAGATTTGAAATACGATATCCACCAGTGTTCAGGGACAAATCTAGTTTCTAACTCTTTCGAAGTTTCTTGATAGGTGTTGCAAATATTTGCACCAAATCATTGCATGTTGAACAACCCAAATGTTAATGTACTTTTGGTGGTACAAAATCTTTTAAGTTAATATCAACACTATTAAATTGGAATTAAATCTTCATTCATTTGTAAACATTCTGAGATTATTTCTTTTGATTATTAAGTTGCATAAACACAGCAAATTTTTTTTACGTCCCATTCATACGCACTAACGCACTCATGCTGTCATGTATTCTTTATGTGCATATGTAAGATATGTGTGTAATCATTTATAATTTTCTCTTAAAAGTGTGCAAAATGTTCATTAGAAATAAAAGAGGAATTGCACGTACAAGCGCGTATACACAAACACAGAAATTCAGGCACAGAAATATTAAGAATAAAATGGTTACGAATAAATATTGTATTTATGCGACGCATCAAAAAGGGGATATATAGATAGATAGATAGAGAGAGAGAGAGAGAAGGTTACATTCATATATTGAAGGTATGTGGGATGATCTCTTAGAGGTAAAATTCATAAAATTTAATAAATGCATACTTTAGCTTGCGTTCATAAGCACACAAGCATACGCACTTAAATTAAGTAAAATTTTTTGAAAAGGAGAAGAACACTTTAGATGGGTTCGTTCGAACTGCAAATTGATAACTTCTAAAAATGCTTTATATTGTTAACACTAAAACAATAAAGCCTTACGAATTTACTTACTCCATTTCTAGCATATGAAAATGTGTACGATTAGCGCTAAGTGATATTTAATCTTCAAATGCAAACAGTGGTTAAAAAAGTAGGTCAGCTCTTAGCTTCATCAATAGGTGGGTTAAAGATTTGGACAACCTTTACGTCACAAAAGGCTTATAAATACCGTTAATTACGCCCACTACGACCATGCCTAAGGCGTCTGCTTAACAAGCTATAGCTGTTACGCGTAGATGAGGACATCTGGTCAGAACTAATTTCTCCTATGTTCTCTTCTGAACTTAGAAGCGACGAGAAGGGCGCCAGCTAGGAACTGCATGCCTACACGCATTCTCCATTTCGGATAAAAGTGAATACGTGAAACGTACGTCACTTCATCGATAACGTTTTTGAGAGTTACTAAGTGTTAATGTTTTTTTCTTTATCTTCCGTTTGCCATTCTAGGCTTACGGTTAAGTATTGCAAGACGTAGGCTATATTACCTCTAATCTTTTGCTTATAATATATATATTTTGTAATAAGCCATAATGATGAGTAGCTACTAATAGCTAAATAAATAAATTAAAAAACTTTTGGCCATGTTGTATATACCTATTGATTTGCGTGTATTTTCATCTAATTACGTTTTTGTTCAAATTCCTTTCCGTCTAACTGTTCGTTTACCTTACTATATGTCCTTCTAATGACCGGTTTAGGTAATCGTCTATTCGTGTAATCGTCTTTTCATTCAAGACTGCTCTTTTAACCGATTGGCCATCTAAGCCTACATCTAATAAATTAACCTTTTCGTTCATCTGACCGTTTTCCGAAAAGAGTGATTTTGTAAGAGACTGACCACATAAGTGTTTGTTCATTTATATGCTGGTACTTCTTTTACTGATCTGCTCCTATATGTCTCAGATAAAATTCTGCAACTGCTTTGTAACTTTTTCAATATAAATTTAACAAAACAGTAACTAAGAAAACGAAGACAAAAACAAGTTCGGAACATAACAGCAATCAATATATTATTTACTTATATAGAAAGCGTTTACTCTCAGAGTAGAAGCAATGTTTATATTGGTATGATATGATCATTTGAATATTAATTTAGCTATATGAATTTAGCTTCAAAGCTGGTATGTCTTCTACTATGAAAATGATCCGATATATGCGACCTTTATTGAAAGCTTGCACAAATCAGATAGCCATAATAAATTTACATCAATTTCGAACTTTAACGGCCTTAATTTTTGACCATAGAGGTTGCAACCAGCTAACCGCCTCGCTCATTTCAAGCAGCTTTGTACATTTTTGACCGCGATTTATTTTGCATGTTATTATCGCGTATTGCCCACTTTTGATCGCTCCTCATCAATACCTGCGAAAATACGTCGATTTCAGTGTGGCAGCGACTTGCAGATGGAAGTATGGTGTAAAAAATTTTTCGTGCGTTAGCCAACTACTGGCTTTTTTTTGCATCACGCCTTACGGTTCAAAACAGATTTTGTTAAGTTCTAGCTCCGAACCGAAGTCATCAGATTAAATGTATTGGTCCTCCTTAATGTTTTGAAGAATTTCATTGATTTGCTTAGCGACTGATTGATCTGAGGGCAGCGGTTCTTTAACATCAAAATAAGCATAAGTAACTATTTGCAGGCTATTGACATATCTTAACCATAGATACCAGCAATTCTTGTCAGAAGGTTGCCAAGAACTGTCGCCTTGATAGCAACACAGAATATAGCGAATTATTTTAGAACATTAAATCATTGCGAAAATTAAGTTATTGCCTGGTTGCATAGTCGAACAGACAAGAGAATCGTGATTACCAAGTTAGTGTTCGCAGATTGCAATCTCACAGCGACAGGCAGTCCACAGATAGTCATACCTTTATTGAGTGCTCAGTTCTTACCGATTGGGCAAAGACCCAAAAGGCTGCGGTCACTACCTCTTTATCTGTTTCTCTTTCAACATTTCTTTCTAAGCATCGCCTAGTTAGATGCGTAGGGGACATTTCATGAGTAATCGGTTAAATATATAAAAAAAGTTCAACCTTTTCGTTCGATTTAAGTTTTCTATACATTATTGTCTTTTAGAAGCACTGCAGTATGGTTCAATGCAACTTGTGTTGCCAAAATTACATAAGTCTAAAGCCAGCTGCACGAACTTTTCGCTTGACTCAGTAAATTTAACTCTCACTTCGTGTAGATTCCTATCGATTTTTTTCTTTCTATTATGAATGTTTCAGAAACTAAGTCCTCGCAAATGTTTTCGAAAAACCTGGCGCTCCTCGAAAACTTTAACTGATATTTTATGTAGATTAAGGAATTGATACTCACAATATCGTCCAAATTGTTCGTCGGCTCCTTCATACCATGACGTAAATTAAATATCTAAAAAAAATTGATAAAGAAAAAAATAAAATAAAGTTAATTTCAATCAAACAGCAAACAAAGGTCTAAAAAGTCGAAACTACATTATAAACAATTCACTTAAAGAATATCTGAAATACGTATGTGTTTGCGATTACACGTAGTTCAAGACATTTCAATTATTATATATAACCAAACACATCTAGGTTTGCTTACAATGACTTTGATAAAGTGAGTTTTGGAGCGATCAAGATGGCAACAAGTCGGTTTAATCGAAGAGAAGATTACTCCCTGTAGAGATGATCTAATATTGAATTGAGTTAAAATGAAAAGTAATTTCCAACAGAAAAAGAGTATCCATATAGAAGAGATCAGAGAAATCTAGTTAAAGATAAAGAATGGTTGCAAACTTTTTTCCCTTTTATTTTCAGCAAGTTACGTCAACAAAATGGCAAACAAGTAAGATCTTTAACTCGCTTTACCTTTGTTGATGCAAGTTTTCATTATTAGTTGGAGAAAACGTAATTTTACCCCAGCCTTAAATTATTTTTCTCCGTTTAATAATAATTTCATACAAACTCTTTTTTTATTAATTTATTTGAAGCATAAGCGCAAAATTGAAAACTAAAAATGAAAGGAGATTAAAACACGAAATATTTTCAATTAAACAGCTGAAATAATCGCAAACTGTCAGTCATTGTTTGGGTCTAACCATAATTAATTTCACTTAAATGCCAACCGATCCTTTTTCAGTTTTAGGGTAATTTGTGCTCGTAAGTAAAAAAAAGGTTAGGTCTTTATTTATATATGTGTAGGCAATCATGTCTATTAAGGAGTATATTAGTTTGGGGAAAAAGAAATCCATTATTTTTTCGGTAGATGGCTGCACTGATAGGTTTCTCGTAAAGTATCGATCAAACAATTTCCGATACTGTACATTTACATATTGTACATTTCGCAGTAAAAAAAATTCTTTTGCTGTTTTTTGTTTGGTGCATTCAGTTGTGAGTTACAGCGTGTTAAAAATGGAAGTGAACAAAGAGAAAATTCGGTACATTTTACAGTTTTTCTTTGACAAAGGCGAAAATGCAAGCCAGGCGGCTAAAATTGTGAATGGTGTTTATGGTTCCGATACTGTAACACCCAATTATGTGCAATTTTGGTTTCGTAGATTCCGTTCAGGAATTTTTGATATTAAAGATGCACCTCGCACAGGTAGGCCGGTCGGCGAAAATGTCGATAAAATCGGAGAAATGATCGAAGTTGACCGCCATGTTAGCAGTCGTAACATCGCCCAGGAGCTAAAAATCGACCATAAAACAGTTTTAAACCATTTACACAAAGCTGGATTCAAAAAGAAGTTCGACGTTTGGATGCCACACCAATTAACAAAAAAAAACATGATGGATCGAATTTCCATCTGCGAAGCCTCGGCCAAACGGAATGAGATAGACCCATTTCTTAAACGGATGGTGACTGGAGATGAGAAATGGATCACATACGATAACCCTGTGCGAAAACGATCGTGGTCAAAGAGCGGTGAAGCACCTCAAACGGCCAGGAAGGTTTTGCTATGCATTTGGTGGGACTGGAAGGGGATTATTTATTATGAGTTGCTTCCATATGGCCAAACGCTAAATTCTGATCTCTACTGTCAACAACTGGACCGTTTGAAGATAGCGATTGACCAGAAACGGCCAGAATTGGCCAACAGGAGAGGTGTCGTGTTCCACCAGGACAACGCTAGGCCACACACATCTACAGTGACTCGCCAGAAACTTCGGGAGCTTGGTTGGGAAGTTTTTATTGCATCCGCCATGCAGTCCGGACTTGGCACCAAGCGATTATCATCTTTTTCGTGCATTGCAAAATTACTTTAATGATAAAAAATTGGAATCTGGGGAGGATTGTGAAAATCGACTACTAGAGTTTTTTGCAAATAGAGACCAGAACTTCTATGAGAGAGGCATTTTGAAGTTACCTTTAAAATGGCAACAAATCATACAACAAAACGGTGCACATTTGATCTAAATCGGACAATCCGAAGCATGTTAAATAAAGTCCTGAAGTTCATCTAAAAATAATGGATTTCTTTTTCCCCAAACTAATATGTTTACTGTTCTCCTTTTTCTCTTACTTTAAATTCCGTCTCAATATAGAGAACATTTTGTTTTTATTTTTTTTCTGAACTTCTCTTCTGCTTGCTTAGTTAGTTTTGTTGAACAATCTTGACAAAACTTACAAAACGCTTGCATAAAATGTTTGCGTATATAACCGTGTATACTTACTTGTAAATGTGTGTATATGTGTGTGCACAGAATAATTTAAAAGTACTTTTACTTCATTTACATTTCAATGCGCACACACGTACACACACACGAGCGCGCACGTAAGCTTACATCATAGCTGCTGTAAGTTACTTCATTTTTAAAGCCGTCTACATGACGGGACCTGCTCTACACTATCTTTGGAAGTTGACATAATATGTACAAATTCGAATTTGCATTCGCATTCGTTCTTAGCTTGCGAATGTAATGACAATTTTTTTTCCATTTTCCATATATATATATATACATATATATATGCTTATGAAATTCGAATTATTTTTTTAAATAATTTATAAGACTCTTAAAATTAATTTTTAAATTTCACTTGAAAATAATGTCATTAAGACTCTTTCAAGCCTTATTTATTAAAAATACAATTTGGTGGAGGTAACAAATTAAAACAAATTCAATTATGTCTAAAGGTTCACATATTTTAAAGGTAATTTCAAACGCCCAAGATAGTATAAAATTCGTATGTGTGATCGGGAGTTTAGAAGTTGTTCCTGGAAAGTCTACACCGCGTGCACTGAAGAAATTAGACATTAATAGATAAAGGTGTGAAGTTGTATATAAATAAAACTAGCACAGGCACAAACCAAAATGTTAAACATTGGCGGGATATTAGATTCATTTTTCACAGCAATTGGTTTGGCCACAGTGACCATCCGAACATTGCCACTCTATATTAGTTCGCATAGAACAAACTTTCACTTCCAAAGTATCTAAATAAAGTTTTCCCGAAGAAAACTAAATATACAATGTACACTTTTGGGAGGGTTATTGATCAACGATTCAAGAAGAGAGACTTCGTCTAACAGAGCTCTGTTCGAATTTTTGGTTTGTTCCTTTGCTAGCTATATTCAAATATAACTTCACATACGTTTAATAAGTGACGATAACGCTTAAGGTAGACTGAGCTACGATCCGAAATCCTTTTAACTATGCTCGTTCGTATGCCCGTGTGTATGTGTATTCATACAGTTGGAAATAGTAGTAGCACCAACCAGTCCGCGAGAGAGTCATGTCCATATTATAATACAACCACGCGGATGCAAGTGCGGACGAACGGATATAGCAACCAAACATGCTTATATCGAAAGTCAGAAAATGATTTACGAGATTTCGCGCAAAAAATTTTAGTTCTGCAAGCGATCAAAACGCGCATACATCCGAGCGTCTCTAATTAAAGCTACCCAGGAAATAATTTTCTACTTGGCCTGTGAACAACTCCCAATATTCTCCAGACTTGTCACCCTATATTTAATATTAGTTCAGACGATGCATTTATAGTTAGCTGACCAGTGGTTCTGTAAACCCCCGAAATTTCTACTTCTTAGGCTACCGGATGAAAGGCAAAGGACCACAGCCGTTCAAGGTGAATATTTGGATTGTTAGGCTTTGTAAAAAGTAATATATTTTAGAAAAATTTCCATTCGATCAAAAAATATCGAGAATTTAACCGAAGAACTAATAAAAAAAAAATTAGGATACTTATGTTTTAAGAATTTTTCTAACCAGTCGGAGTTAGTGAGTGAAAACCGAAACTTATTACAATTAAAGACTTTAGCAAATACATAACAATTTTCAGATTTACTGTTGCCTGGTAACCCCCAAAACTTTAAATAATGCCTAAACCATGTGAGAAATGATAGTAAGAATTTTTTGACAAGTCGTTTATACTTTTACAACTTAAAGCAATTAAATTTTATGGTAAGGTGTAATGTTAATATATAAATTGTTTCATTTAATTTTCTGTCTTAAAGGTTTCTTCAATGCTTTTCATAAATTCTAATGAAAAAGAGTAAATGGAACTTTTAACCAATAATAGAAATAGTAATAATAATAACTAACAATCACATTGATGAGATTAAATTAAAAGAGTTTTTTGTTCGTCAGTACAACAGCTTTTTTAAATTACAAACAAACTGTCTATGAACGTAATTAGATTAAATTGAATTAAAATTTCTATGAAGAAAATGGCAATGAAAAGAAATGAAATGTCAAACAAATACTTATTAATATCGTGACATTGATTCATGAGCGTACTTATATGCGTTTTCATAACAAAATTTTATATTGTCATTCATCAGTTCTACTTCATTTGAATAAAAGCAATTTATTTAACATCGGTTATGGTTGAATGATATGTGAACATAGAGGGAAAAAAGTGAGACACCATATACACTCCGTATGTTAAATATCAATTTTTGTTATTGCGATTTATTATATACTTCCACATATGGGCACAAAAGCTTTTGCATCTACAAGTAGTATAAAAGCCAAAACCACATGAAATTATGTAAACTCACCAAAATAAACAATTATTTGCTTTTTATTTTTCTCTCATTTTTTTCTTTTTTTTTTGATTGATCGACTTAAGTCGAGTGCAATAGTGTATTACGTTTAAGAGGGATTATACTGGATAATATAAGTGAATATAAAAATCGTTCAATAAATATTAGCACAAGTCAAGTAAAGTTTAAAAACCTAGAATCCGTTTTTTATATAGGAGGTCACCGAAATCTGAGATTAATATTCTTCCCTTGTTTCCGTAGCACGCTGTAGGCGCAATACCAAACTACTAAACGAATTCAGGTAACAGTAAAGCAAAAAACAGCGAAGGAGTTAGCAAACGTAGCTGGAGTAACTATGTGGTGTACGCAGTAAGCGTGCGGTGTATAAAATAAGTGTGTG